GACGTGAATAAAATGTTGTCTAAACGTTAGTTTTTATCATGAAATGTCACTTTCTTTATCATTTCAATTATTAAATACTATTAAATACTATTAATGAACATCTTGGACTTGAAATTTCGCGTATAAATTATAACTAATTTATTAAAAGTTTACACCACTTCAAAACTGTTTTATCACTATACATATTGAATGAAAACCGTGTAGTTCTTCTATCGTCACATTATTTGTAACTGGTTATTTGTTTTTAAGGTATAAACTACCTATGAAAATATTTAAATTTTTTCCATCGTGATTCGCGTGTAATTTATGAATTTCAATTTAAACTTCTTTATCAACGAATTTTTTGAGGTTCAGGATAGAAATTTCTTAGCCTTTGCATGATGAGTCATCAGACACTATTGAATTCAAACTTGCAAATTCTTCATATCGTCACAATATTTGTAAATGGTTTTTTGTTTTTAAAGCGTAAATTAACTATAAAATTATTTATGTAAATTTTTATAAGTGTGCTTTAAATAATTTCTTACTAATTTATGAAAAGCTTTCTATGACAGAATCTTCTGAAGTTTAGTAAGTATGTAAGTTCATTTACCTTTACTCGATTACAAAAATCAAACAATTTATTGAATCAAAATTTGAAATTTGGAAAAAAATTAACTCTTCATTTCGTCGCAATATTTGTAACTAACTGGTTTGTTGTTTTAAAGATGTAAAATAACTTTGAATGTATTTAAATAGATATTTATGATCGTGATTGAGAAAAAAGTGGCCGTTAATCTTCCTTCCTCGTCTTTAGTATCGGAATTAAATTCATTGAGTTTAGTCGGATTTAAGTTGGTCACTGTTTACTCACTGTGTAGAATATTGTAACGAAAATTTGGATTAAAATGAAATTTCTTTTCATTTCAAAATTTTAATCTTAAAAACAGACGTTTGATTCGCTGAGGTAGTCAATGAAGATTTTTGTCTCATTCTGTTTTAATTAGTAAGGTCAAGAAGATTATCTTTAGAACATAATGAATCTTACGGATATAACAGTGAAAACAAGTGGAGATGTTCCCCAATCGCAATTGGACTTGATGATGTGGATAAACAGATTTTCAATGTAAATTTATTGATTCACTTCGTGTCGCCAAAGTGATCAACTTTGTATTAAAATATCATTTCAGAATTCTTATGACTTTTTTAATGTCAACTTCACTTTTTTACACTGTTTACGACATTTTTATTGAGAAGCGGAAGAAAATAAATCAAAGCAAAGGATTACTCTTTTTCTCTTTATACACTACTGGAAGAAAACTTTTTAATTTGAAACGAGATGGCAAGGAAGTGATCGGATGTCTCGAAGGATTACGAGCACTATCGATACTTCATATCGTGTACTTTCATTCATATTTCTTTCGATTGTTGACAACCCACAGCGATGAGAATCTGTTGAGAGAGTTTCTAAGAACAAGATTTGCTGAATTTGTTTCGGGTATGCATATGCATGTTGACACATTTTTCGTCATTAGTGCATTGCTCACAACCAAAGCTGTTCTAAAAGATTTTGAATTGTATGTCATTTTAATTAACTTTAATATTTTTTAAAGTCAAATTCTCTTTCAATAATATAGAAAACGATACAATTATTTTAAAATGTTCTTCCAACGCTTCATGAGAACTTCACCATTGCTAGCATTTATGATTCTTCTAAACAACAGTTTGGCATATTACTTCGTTGAGAATGCACCACCAAAATATTTAGATTATTTAATTTACAACTGTCAGAAACATTGGTGGGAAGCTCTCTTGCACTTACAAGTCTACACGAATGCAAATGAACTTGTGAGTGAATTCAATAATAGATTGTAAACGGATTTTAATTCATCTTTTCTATTCTTCTCTGGAAAGTGCCTGTTTACAACTTGGTATCTATCAGTTGATTTTCAAATGACTGTCATCGTAGCACCAATTGTGATTTATTTGCTTCATAAATACGGAAAGAAATGTTTGATTGTTGTGGCATCATTGATTGCTTTATCAGTAGCTTATGCATTCAAAGTTGTCTATCATAATAAATATATTGTAAGGGATTATACATTGTAAGTAGATATTTATAAATTTAATTTTGTGAATGCATTATTGATGCATTCAATGGAAATTTAATTGCCAGTTACATGATCGAAAAGAATTAATTAATTCACTTAATTTAATGCGCAGCACATCTGACATTTTCGGAGAATTATACACGGGCTTCTACTATCCAACACATATTCGCGGTGCCGTTTATTTGATTGGAATTATGTTGGGATTTGCTCTTCACATAGTAGATCAAGATGTGATTATGTTGAAGAAAACTAGTTTCAGAAGAAAGGTAAACATTGAAAAAGAAAATTTTGAACAATTTTAATTGATTTAATTTCAATTTATCAAAATCTCGTTAAAAGTTAAATACTTATGCAGCGCAAAGGCGAAAAATTTTCGTAGACTTTTACATTTACAATTTTTACTTTTATACCTATTTTGAAGACTAAAACACTGTCATCATC